GGGTGGTTGTGCAGTGTAGCATAGCGTTACTCATTCAAAACAACTGAGCACCTACCTTGTGCTTGCATTATTGGGTGTTGGGAATTGGTCCCTGGCCTTGTTGGAGGAGACCAAAATAAGGCAAATTATCACACAAATGTGAAATTACAACTGTGGCAGGTGCAACAGAATTGAACTAAATAGTACTGACTGAGAGCTTCTGAATGAGGGATTTAATAAGGGTGTTTTACTCCATAGGGGAGGTGTGGAGGGGGGGAGTCAGGGAAAAAACCACTTGAGAGAGATCTGGGCGGTGAGTGGAGGTTAGCCAGAGGAAGAAGCCTGTGTGAGGGCCAGTGTGGCTGGGACACGGTGTGAGGAGGAGGCTAGAGAAGAGAGTGCACACTACATGGGACTTTTTAGGCCTCCTCAGAGATTTGGATCTTTGTGCGAGTACCAGGGTGTGGGCAGCAACATGCTCATTTTGTGTTTTGTAAGGTTCCTCTGGCTGCATTGTTGGGTTGGAGAGAGATCCTTGAGCAGGCTCTTGCATTATCTAACTAAGCAAGAGGTGGTGGTGGATATCCCTAGGGTGGGGTGGGTATGGAGAAAAAGCGTGGAAGGGCTATCACTGTCTTTGCAGCATCTGATGACACCAAAAAGAAGATGTACAGTTCCATCCTGGTGGTGGGAGGTGGTTTGATGTTTCATAAAGCACAAGAATTTCTGCAGCACAGAATTCTCAACAAAATGCCACCTTCATTCAGGCGAATTATTGAAAATGTGGAAGTTATCACAAGGCCCAAGGTATGTTGTTCATGGTACAAGTTGGACTGTGTAAATGAAACCAGCATTGATTATTTCTAATTCTATTGTATGCGGACAGATAAAATCCTGGAAGTTATGGTCATATGTCTGGGAGTTCTTGAGGGTTTGGGGCAAGTGGAAATGTTACTTACAGCAGGTCACAGATGTGGAGAAAGGAGCTCTGGGCGAGGGGACTGGATTCTGGGTTTTAGTCCCTGCTGTGCTGTCCAAAGCTAGCAAGACTGGGGGTGCCTTTGTAGGGCAGTGGGACCTGGAGCAGACTGGCCCATGTCATGCCATCAGCCAGAATAACTCCCGTGTTATCTTTCATGCTGAGAATCTGCTACTGGTCCCTAGACCAGGTGATCTCTAAGAATCATGTAGGCTTGAACTGTCTTGAAATATAAACCTAGGAATTTAGAAACAAATTGTGCCTATACTTCATCATATCTCATTGACAATTCCTGGAAATGTTCTCACTTAATTTTAATCCTGGGGGAGAGATTGTGGGATATATTTATTCTACTCCAATTTCAAAGTAAGTTATTTCCTTACATATGTTCTGTCTTCAGAGCTATTTGTGGGATAATAGTGAATAATAGTAGCTTTAGTAATACAAACTAAAAAGTTTTGTCAGTTGAAACAGAAAGAGGCCTGTAGTTCATGAGTCCTTAATGCAGGTTTAAAATCTGGCTTATTAGGTATTGACTCGGGGGGGGGGGGGGGGTCGTCCCCCAATTCAAATAAATGATTGAGTGGACATCTTGTCTGCTTGTGCTGACCTATCTGTACCGCCGCTCTAGGACATGGATCCTCGGCTGATTTCATGGAAAGGGGGCGCAGTGCTGGCTTGTTTGGATACGACACAGGAACTGTGGATCTACCAGCGAGAATGGCAGCGCTTTGGTGTCCGCATGTTACGAGAGCGAGCTGCCTTCGTATGGTGAAATGGGCAGGAAAAGTCACTCTTGGAGACCCCAGACAAGCCTCTTGGTATAAAAGACTCTTAGAGAATATATGCATATGTATATATATATTTTTAATTTATTACCCTAAGTGCTTCAATTTCGTCGAAAATAAATGAATTTTAACTTGTGTGTTGAAAACATGACCTTGGTGTGAAATTATAAGCTGCTTCTGCAGTCAAGACGTTTGAGAATAAATGCGCTAAGGTCTCCTGCCCCATTCAGGGTCTCAGGAACTCCACGGTGATGTGAGTGGTTGAGCAGTTGTCCAGTGGTGAAGCTCTTCCTTGAAGTTGACTTCTAAGTGACATGAGACAGTCTCCTGCGTCCCTGAGGAGTGGGTGTGTGACTTGGGAGCCTGGATTGTGAAAACGGTGTGGTCATGGCATTTTCCCTCTTGGCTAGAACAGCGAGCACGTGATGTGACTCTTGGAATTTCAAATAGGAACAAGTTTTATTTTTTTAATTTTCTGTTAGATTACAAAAATGATGAGGGCAGATTCAGGTCTAGATTTGTCAAGGCAAAGGTTTAAGGCTGCGCTGGCTGGCTTTTGTTACCCAACATGCTCTAGGGCAAGGAAAAGAAAACAGTCGTCATCTGACCAAAACAGAACAAGAGCAGAAAGGGAATTTTGTTTCTTTGATACGGCCAATAGGAATGACTTGGGTATAGAGTTGTTAGCATGTGTTGTACAGATAAGCAGGCTAATTGCTACAATTACTGCTAACAATTCCCTTTACCTGAAGAACCAGTGAAAACATTTGGAGTTCTTTGTGTTCAGTGTGATCAGTTGACCTTAACCTGTGAGCAGTCTGAAGCAGACAGCTGACCACCAGTGGTCCAGGCCTTAGGGAAGCCTGAGCAGAAGAGAAGGCATTGTCTGCTGGAAGGGAAGCCAGTCAGTGAGCACAGCCTGGGGGCTCTGAGACCTGGGAGGGTTGGGCAGTGCCTGATTCCTGCCAGTCTCTTGCACTTGCTTCCACTATCTCACCGTCAAGAACTGGAGGTGGGACTGGGGCAAAGACAAACATAGGGACAGTTAAGGGGTGAATAAGAGTGGAATCCTATATAATAATAGGGTAATATGCAAATTGACTCTAATGGGAGAATGGCCGGATGACCGCCCGACCAGTTACTATGAGATGACAAAGACAAACATAGGGACAGTTAAGGGGTGAATAAGAGTGGAATCCTATATAATAAAAGGGTAATATGCAAATTGACTCTAATGGGAGAACGGCCGGATGACCGCCCGACCAGTCACTATGAGATGAATCACCTCTTGGTCCCTTTCCCTGACCAGCAGGCTCTGATCGATCGATGGCAAACGGGGGTGGATGACAGGGGACGTGGGTGGCGCCAGGCCAAGGCCCCCACCCCACATACAGAGAGCAACCCACAGCAGGAGCAGGGCTGGCGGGAGCAGGCTGACCTCTCAGATGGGGAACCAGGTGTGGGTGGCAGTGGGGGGCGGGGCCGGCTGCGGACAGCCAGGGAAGATGGGCCTGATTGCAGGCCAGGCCTAGAGATGGTACCTGTGCACGAATTTCATGCTCCTGGCCTCTAGTATAGAATAAGGATGGTAATAAGTCTTAAGACATGGAGCAGTGCTGGTAACGGAGCATTTTGCATTAGTAAGAGTATCCTATGTATCTGCCCAGTAGGTTAGGAACAAAGGGTATAACAAAATGTAACTTGCTAGTACTATTTGGAATGTATGCCTTCAATTTGAAAATTGTATGTTCTTTGACTTAAAATTTTTTAAACAATAATTACATAAGATTTTATGTTTCTGAGCTGTTTCAACACAATTTAGTATTGGCTACCTAGTTCCAAAAATATAATTTTTTGTTTGTTTTTAATGTGTTTATTAATTTCAGAGAGGAAGGAAGGAGAGAGAGACCAGTGTGAGAGAGACATCTATCAGTTACCTCCTGTACGCATGCCAATCAGGAATTGAGCCTGCAACCTGAACATGTTCCCCAGCTGGGAATTGAATCAGTGACCTTTCGGTGCATGGGACGACGCTCAACCGAGTCACAGGGGCCAGGGCTATTTCTGTTTGCAATAGTTTTTCATGTAATAGTATATTGCTCTTATAACTGGTAGATGTTGATTCAGAGGAAGTTGGCTTCTGGTCCGAGTTTTGACATAGCCATGTCCCGTCTTTTATCACCAGCACTTTAAAGCACCGTGAAGACTAATCTTGACAAATAAGGGACTTTTGCCACATTAAACATATTGCTTGAGTCATTACTAAGTATCTGCTGGTGAAGTTGGACACGGTGAGATTTCACTCTATGCTTACGCACTTTGGTTTTTATTTTATTCTTAGGACATGTATTAGAATACTCAACAAATACATTTTAGCAGTCATCTACCTGAAACTGGTCCACATTCTGGAGCAGATTTAGTATTGTGCTGTGTGAAAGGACAGGCATTCCCAGAAAAATATATATGCTAACATACATAACCTTTTGGTGACCTGGAGTAAAAAAGATGCTTTTAGGAAAATTAAAAAGTTAGAAGGCTCAAAATACCATAACTCTTGTATTCTGTAACTCCATGGTAGTTTGTTTTTACCTAAGTAAGCCATTATAATAACTCATAAGATTAATTACTTCAAGAGGGCTGTCTTCCAACATAATAATTATTTTTAACATGTTCCCCAGCTGGGAATTGAATCAGTGACCTTTCGGTGCATGGGACGACGCTCAACCGAGTCACAGGGGCCAGGGCTATTTCTGTTTGCAATAGTTTTTCATGTAATAGTATATTGCTCTTATAACTGGTAGATGTTGATTCAGAGGAAGTTGGCTTCTGGTCCGAGTTTTGACATAGCCATGTCCCGTCTTTTATCACCAGCACTTTAAAGCACCGTGAAGACTAATCTTGACAAATAAGGGACTTTTGCCACATTAAACATATTGCTTGAGTCATTACTAAGTATCTGCTGGTGAAGTTGGACACGGTGAGATTTCACTCTATGCTTACGCACTTTGGTTTTTATTTTATTCTTAGGACATGTATTAGAATACTCAACAAATACATTTTAGCAGTCATCTACCTGAAACTGGTCCACATTCTGGAGCAGATTTAGTATTGTGCTGTGTGAAAGGACAGGCATTCCCAGAAAAATATATATGCTAACATACATAACCTTTTGGTGACCTGGAGTAAAAAAGATGCTTTTAGGAAAATTAAAAAGTTAGAAGGCTCAAAATACCATAACTCTTGTATTCTTAGGTAGTTTGTTTTTACCTAAGTAAGCCATTATAATAACTCATAAGATTAATTACTTCAAGAGGGCTGTCTTCCAACGTAATAGGAATTATTTTTGTTCTAAACACAAAAATTTACATAATCAAGAAACTGAACTCTGACGGTGACCTCTAATAGGTAACTGGACAGAAGTAGACAACAGGTCTGCAAGTGTATTTTGGTGTTCATGTGAAAGTCACCTGTACAAGAGGCAAATAGGACATGAACCTAGTTCAGAGAGGGAAGGTCCTATGAAAATGCCAAATACAAATGGGTACAAATATACTAGGTCGTCTGGTCAGCAAAGATGGGTTTAGCCTGTTGTTCCTATTTTTGTTAAAAATAAAGATGTGTGTGAGAGCGAGTTTTTACCTAAGAAATTATTGAGTGAATTAGCTAGGGCTTACTAAATTTGGCATTAATTAATTAATCTTAGCACGTTACAAAGCTAAACACGTCTGCCTACAATGCAGGGCAGGGACTATTCAAGACTGGACGTTCAGCTGGAAGAGGCTTTCTTACTGCATTGTCAGATGGTACGGTTTCATGTTATAACTGTTATTTTTAGTTATGAAATTGATTTAGCTTTATAATTATAAATGTAGTTTCCATTCTTCAGTTAGTACTGCAGTAGTTAGTAATATTTGTAACTAGTGGCATAAATTTTTTAATTACTAGACTAAGACGTATACGTTCCGTTATGAGTCCTCCCTATTACTAAAGCAGTTATATACATACAATCGGCCCTACGAGTAGCCTATACAGTAAACTCCAGAACCAACACAGAAGCTTTTCTAACCGGAGGGGTAGGAAGGCTTCAAGTTCTCGCTTCCCGTGGGTGGGCTACACGGAGGAGCAGCTGTGGCAGGCTCGCAGCCTTTTCCCCACCGACACGTGCTGCTCGGCATGGAGCAGTTCTGTGCAGAAAGCGCCAGCGTCCTTCATGAGACAGTACTTGGGGCAGACGTTGAGGGCATTGTAATCGTCTTTGATATCAGCCTCTCTAAAGTAGACCACCATGTATTTGTGCAGATGAGTCTGGCTCCTCAGGTCGCTGCAGAAGAGGTTAAAGGCCAGGGGGAACAGGTCTTGGGAGTTCTCACCGGGGCTGCCCTTGCTCTTGCCACAGGTACCATCACACACAGTGTTGACATCATTGGAAAGAAGGAAAATGACTTTTTCCGCGGCTTTCTTCTGAGCGGTGAGCCACTGCACCAGACCCATCTCGGCTATTTTCTTTCTCTGCCACTTGTCAAGGATAACCTCACTTCTGCAGTGGTTCTGAAGAAATTCAGTGAAGTAACAAACTGTGTGATGGAAACATATTTCGGGTGGGTAAACCACAAGAACCTTAATGGGGGGCAGTAGTGTGGTGGTGGGGAAGGAAGTCTTGATCCTTTCTGTGGAGAGAGAAAAACGTGTGTTATCTATAAATAGCAAATGGCAGGCTTTTGCTGTAAAGATGTTGTAAAAGCTGTATTTTGTAAGTCCTTATTACTAAATCAGTCTCTTAGTCAAGCCATACCTTTTCAGGTAAATTCATAGGTTTGAGGTATTCTGTTTTAGGTGGGTTGTTGTAACTTGAGTATTGTTAGTACCATATACTCTATAAACAGGAACATCCTGGCCTCTGCCCTTCATGTTTTTGGGTCAATTCAGTAGTAATTCCATTTTCTACCAGCAGGTGGTAGAGTTTCTTTATAGTTCCATAGGGTTGAGTGGCGCCCCTTTTCAGCTGGAACGTAACTGGAAAGCTGCCCTATGTGTGCTATAGAACAGAAACCATCTTAGAAAGTACTATAGCTAATTCAGGCCACACAACATCTTCTAAGTACAAGTATTCCCGAGGTCCTAGTTCCACAACTTTCTTAGCTTAGATCATGAGATTAAGCTTTTTTTATCTACGTTATCTGTGATGAGACGCAGACTGCCTTTATTTCCTTTTCTTTCAGTGTGCCACCCTCTAGCTGGGTGTCTTTTTACTCGGGTTTCTATAGTCAATCCTCAATATTTTAATGTTGGCAAGGCCCTTAGAATATATGAATCCAAGTTACCACTGTTCTTATGCCTTGTAAGAATTATTTTTAAAAACTAGAGGCCCGGTGCACAAAAATTTGGGCACTGGGTTGGGGGGGTCCCTCAGCCCAGCCTGTGCCCTCTTGCAGTCTGGGACCCCTCGGGGGATGTCCACCTGCTGGCTTAGGCCCACTCCCCGGGGGGATCAGGCTGAAGCTGGCAGACATCCCTCTGGCAGCCCAGGAGCCCTCGGGGGATGTCCACTTGCCAGCAGAGAGCAGGCCTAAGCTGCAGTCGGACATCCTTAGCACTGCTGAGGAGGCGGGAGAGGCTCCCGCCACCACCACTGTGCTGGCAGCCGTCAGCCTGGCTTGTGGCTGAGCACAGCTCCCCTTGTGGGAGCTGCCCCCTGGTGGTCAGTGTGTGTCATAGTGACCAGTCATTCCCAGTCGTTCTGCTGTTAGGGTCAATTTGCATATTACCCTTTTATTATATAGGATAGAGGCCTGGTGAACAGGTGGGGGCCGACTGGTTTGCCCTGAAGGGTGTCCCAGATCAAGGTGGGGGTCCCGCTGGGGTGCCTGGCCATCCTGGGTGAGGGGCTGATGGCCGTTTTCAGGCTGGCCACGCCCCCCGGCAACCCAAACTCCCAGCCTCTCCTTTTTTTCTTTTTTCTTTTTTTCTGGGATTTATTTATCTTCTATAATTGAAACTTTGTGGCCTTGAGTGGAGCTGAGGGCTTGGCTTCCTCTATCTCCGGGGGCAACCCAAGTCTCCTGCTCGCTCCAGCTCCATGGCCGCCGCCATCTTAGTTGGGTTAATTTGCATACTCGCTCCTGATTGGCTGGTAGGCGTGGCTTTGCGGGTGTGGCTTGAGCGTAGTAGAGGGACAGTTAATTTGGATGTTTCTTTTTTATTATATAGGATAGGAACTAGCAGAGAGGACCTACCACAGGTACAGTGCCATTCCTTATTAGCTATCTTTGCCCTTTTCAGTACCTGTCCATGCCTCAATGGTAAAAATAAAACAGATGATAGCCACAGGTTTGGAGATTCGATCCCTGCTTTAGCTCAGCAGATGTGACCCAGTCGTTATGTCAGTCTTTTTAGGAGAGCTCTAGGCATTAAGTAAATGCTATCTGACTCCTGCTCAGTGCCAAAATGGGATGGCCTCTAGAGGAATCTCCTTTAAAAACATTCAAAGTGTTATTTCTTCACCCAGGTTTCTTGAAAGCACAGCATTATTGCCCTTACCGTGCCTCCACATGAGACAGGTCCCAGCCGCCAGCATCCCCGTGGCTGCCAGTGGGGCCAGGAGGAGGAGAGGCAGCCAGCCACTGAGCATGCTTCTGCCTGCAGAAACAAAACCAAACCAAATGACCTCATGTTTGGAAACTAAGATACTTTGCAGAAGTTTAGACCCCTTTAAAACCAAGGGTCACTAGATCTCTCAGTCTGCAGAATGGTATGTTTTCCTACAGTGTCCACATCTTTCACTCAGTTCTCAAGAGAAATATGGGAGGAGGCGGAGAACAGTCCTCTCAAATCACTTTGGCTTCCCACTCCGTGTTTACACTGTGGTAACCAGAATTCACATTCATTTTTATTTTTTTTTTTTGTTCTTTGACAAATTAATGTTATTCTGGGCACAGATACTTAATATCTGGTAAACAGAGATGGCATTTTTAAAGGCTGTCTTGTAAGACTTGGATATGTGGGGGATATTGCCACCCCTCACAGAATGCCAAGGACCAGGTAAGCTCAGGCACACAGATGTGCTCAGGAACCCACAGTCACTGCGGCCACACATTCAGGACTGTTCAACACCTGGGTTGTCTTCAGTTGATTTGGCTGCATTTCAAGAACACCTTCCAAGTGTAGACTCCACTCTTGGGCTAGTTCCAGAACATCTTATTTGTCCATCTGTAAATGGAAGCACTAACATCTCTAAATCCGGAGGCACCTTTTCCAGAACATGCTGCTCTCCATTCCAATGAGGCGTGTCTTCTGGTGCCAGTATTCCTAATTTGTTAACCAAATGTTGGCCATGTGACCCCATCAAGTTACAGCCACAGCGAGGCCTGGGCCACTGGGACTAATAAGATAAATGTAGGGAAGTACATGTTCTCTCATTCACTCAGTCCTGTTACGCTCTTGACTTTTTTTCAGCAAATCCTTGTGGCTCTGAACATCCATTTTGCACTGTTTATTTTCCCCCCTTCTTGTATATATCCTGCTTCATAAAAGACTTGGGGTGATTTTATAAATAAAGCCTTCATTCTTATTCCAATTGCAGGCTCTGGGCAGCTCTGACATCTTTCCCTGCCCGCTAGTTTAGCATCCACAGGCAGGGACTCTGTCCCATCCCCATGTACATCCTGTCATATTGATGGGGGGGGGGGGGGGGGTGACAGTGGCGCTCATGTCCTGAACCTCTTTGATCATCCGGTGACAGTGACTGGGCACTTACTGTTATCCAAAGGGAAGGACATATCTGTTTGTGGACAAAGTACAACGGTTCCTTTGCGACGGATGCAGTCGTTGCCACAGGTGCGGAAATACGGAGTCAACTGAGGGAAAAGGAGAGGCTCAGAAAGTACCACCATGTGTCAGAGCAGAATCTCAGCACGATTCCCACTTCTACCAAAACTTCGCTCCCCTTTTTTTCTGGTTTCAACCCTGTCCCCACTCCCCCACCCCTTGTAATACGACATTTTCCCCTTGACACTTCAGTGACAAAGCCCTAAATTCCAAACCAGTGACCGAAGACTGAAGCACCTTCTAAGTCTCCTGGGGTCTGAACCTGAACTTTGTACATGTTGCTAACATGTTACTTTCCATATCTATGTGGGTTAGGTCACATCCCATATATACACAAATAGTTCCTCAAACAAGCGGCAGCAGGGCTCCTATTAATTTCCACTTCATGAAAGAAAGGGACTAGGAAAGTCTGGTTCCCTGGAAAAGGGTGCGGACAGGCGTCTGCTCCCTCTGGCAGGGCAGGGCACTGCCTTTATGTTCCATGGAATGGGAAGCAAAAGCTCCTCCTATCTTGGGTGTGGCTGTGCCCCACTGAGACCCTCCACAGCCCCACATCATAAACTCAGATTTGAATGGGACCGGAGAGCATCTACTCGTCCAACTTCCTCCCCTCCACCTGAGTAAACTGAGGCCTGTAAGGACACGCAGTTGCCCTCCAAAGCTCGTACATTAATCAGGAACCCAAGTCTTGGCATTTCACATTGTTACTTCATTTTGCAGTTAAAACAGGCTAGGGAAAATAAATGGTACTCTTGTCTCAGAATTACTCATAGACTTTGTGACAGAAAATGAAAACAAAAATCCTTTGGAAAGTCAACAGCCACTGATAAAAGCAAAAGGGGCCATAACTGTAAGGTCAGCCTCCTGACCTCCCCACCCCTAGACCAGCCAAGGATTTCCCATTAACATCACTTGATGTGAGACAGCTGCAGAAATGCACAGGATGCAAACTCACTACTACAACTTTGAAAGGACTCATCAAAAGCCACTAACAGTGGAGAAACAGTCTTCCCCTCCCAGAGTCATCACTGAACTTTACCTGGACCACAGCACCTTCACTCTCCTGGGTCACTGGAACCATGACCGACACGTGAGTTAGTTTGCTCTGGTGCAGAGAAGGGAGACAAAATCAAGAACGATGTGCCATGTGAGTGAGTAGATCACAGACGGCCAGTGAAGAAACCACTCTTCCCAAACTCCTTCAGTGCATCAGACTCTGTGAACACGGATTCATTTCCTGCGTCGGACCCTCTACCTTGGTTGCAACTTAGGCTCACAGGGACATTTCCAGGGAAGCACCAGGGACTTGTTTTTCTCTATTGAATCAATAAGAAACACCCACCGCATTTGGACAGGAAACAGTCCTGCCCGGGGTCTCTCAAAAGAAAGGAATCCTAGAGTGTCCACATTGCTCTTCAGCAAGGTAAGGAAAGCTGGGGTTGAGGATGGGGTGGTGGTAAGGAAAGGAAGGGAAAGAGTACCTCCAAAACCAAAGACCCAATCAGATTTTTATTTTGGATAATAGCCATGTATTTGTTTCCAAGGGGACTGGTTGTAAAATTCACTTCTACCGTCTTCTCATCCTTCTTACAAGCTGTGATGTTTGGATCCCACAGACTTCCTATCAGTGGAGAGAGAATCACATGGATGAAGCTGCAAACTCTTCCCTCATTTAAGTCCCCAAAAAGGGCTTGACAAAAACAAATACAAGTTTTCAGGTCTACTCTATGAGAAGAAAATAGTTGTTTCACTCATGTGACTTGCAAATCAGCACAAGGTTAATTTCCAGGAAGGTGATGTATAATAGCATGCATTGTTTCCCCATCTAGGAGACCACTTCCGGCTCAGGCGCAGGCGGTCTTTAGGAGCAGCTCCAGGACTGGCTGAAGGTCCTCAGACCTCTTCACACCCCCAATGTCCTCTACGTCTGCTAACAAGAGACCACGTGCCGCTCAGCCTGACAGGGTACACAGGGATGCCTTGTGGGATGGGGGTGCCTAAAAGATAGGGACCAATTCTGCTAAATACCACTAGCCTCTTGAGCATCCTCACACTATATTACTCAGAAATTTAAACAAGTCCTACAATCTTTGGAAATTGGACACTTGGGACTGTTTGTCCTGAAGGGGCTGATTTCAAAATTGAAAGGGTAGGGGCAGGTTCTAGTGGCCTCGCATGTAAGAGGTGACCCCTGTGAGGACACAGGTTGAGAACATGCTTTCAGGTCACTGTTTCAGCTAGTACTCGTACCAGGAATATTTGCTAATCCACATAGAAGGTTCCCAGGGCCCCACGGCCACAGGTCAGAGATACAGGTGCCCGAGCAGGTGGAAGGGCTTACAGACTCCCCTCCAATCAGGAAGGGCCTTTGATCAGCACCACCATATGTGGTTAGAGCTAAAATGTCGGTTCAGCCACCAGGGTGTGGCATGGTTCTGTGACTTGCTTACTACATAAACCCACTCAGGTCTGTCCTTCCTGGACACACTGGCTGCGGGATTCAGTGGGCAAAGCCCTGGCGGGTCAGCCTTCACTGCCTGAGCAGCTTGCATACATAGTCCCCTGCCCTCGCCTCCGTTTCTCATGGAAGATGGGCTGAGCTTGTTGGCTCAAGTTACGAGTTCCTTCAAATAACAAAAGCAAGTGCTGTATTCACTTACCTGCCTGGATGCACTGGGTTTTGTATTTCATTAGATGGTCTAGGCAGCCTGGAAATTTGAATGAAACTTTTTACATTTTAGAAAAGGTATCTGTGCTCCACCTCCTTGCCAACAAGTACACACACATATATGCTTACCACACCCCATACGAATTGCCAGAACATTCAAGATGTGAGGTAAGATAGCAGATTTAAGTGGGACACGAACATTTTACTATTGAACAGAAGATTATCTACCCGTGAAATGATAACCAGAGTCTAACTTAAATGCAGCCTTTATCACAACAGGATCTATGATCCCCCGAGAAGATTCAAACCAGCTTTTAAAATGAGGTTGGGTAACATGTGTAAATACTGCCCCTACCAGGTGGTGGAGCTTAATCTACAACACACTCCCATCCCATGTGGGGGAGACTTAGTGACTTGTTTCCCAAAACTAGACTAGGGAAGGGGAAACAGTGGATTTACATGGAGAAGACTGGCAGGTGCCACTTAACCAAGTGATAAAGGTCAACACTACCAATGATGTGTGGATGTCACCTACCCCTGATGGGGTGCCATGAGAAGGGTGCCTCACCCCTGAAGTATACTCAGATGGGGGACATTATACGGATGCCTGACCAGCACTCCTCAAGACTGTTAAGGCCATGAGGAACAAAGACTAAGAAGCTGTCACAGACCAGAGGAGACTGGGACAGCAAGAGGACATTCATGGAAAAGCAGGCAAAATCCAAATAAAGTCTGGAGCTTAGTTAATAGAAATGTACAAACGTTGGTTTATTAGTTGTGACCTATGTCCCATGGTAATGTGAGATGTTAATGATAAGGGAAACATTAAAGGGTATATGGAAACTCTTCGAACTATCTTTTCAACTTTTCTATAAATTTAAAATCATTCCAACACAAACACATTTATATTGTTTAAGATGAGGTTTGTTCTCATCAAGAAAGCTGGAAACTGCTGTGTAGTAAGAGGTGTGGCACCAAGAAAACCCTGGACCACAGTCTCAAAAAAAGGACGATTGGAAATTGCCCATTTGGAAATTCACCTGAGACAGAGCAGGTGTGGGGTACAAAACAGGTGGCCCATTCCAGATGGGGGTGCTGTGGGAACTGCTGCAGCCAGACACCATGCTGGCACCTTCACCCATGATCCTGTCTCATCCTAACCCCAGCCCTGTGTGTGACATTGCAGGTGTGACCCTGGGGACTGATGGAATGATGTAAAGCAGGGGAAAGAACCCAACATTCAACACAGTGCCACCTGCCTTCACCAACAGTTCAGGGACACACCTAGTGGCTGTACATCCTCAGAGACCCTGCAGTATGCTCTCAAACAACACAGCATGCTAGGAAGCCAAGACTGGAACAAACATTTTGTTATTTTCAAATATATCAATCTACCTTTTAAAAAAAAAAAATTAGAATGAGAGAGAGAGAGAGAGAGAGAGAGAGACATTGATGTGAGCAAGAAACATTGATCAGTTGCCTCCCACACACATCCTGGCCAGGAATTGAACCTACGACCTTTTGATATATGGGATGATGCTCCAACCAACTGAGCCACACTGGCCAGGGCTGGAACAAATGTTTTGCATCAGTGACAAAGAGTGGCTAAAGTGCATGGACCAACAAGGAGCAGAGTTTGAATGTCAGCTTCTCTTTTACTGTGTGTGTGACCCAGGCCAAGTAACTAGAGAAATGTCTTCATCTGTAAAGCTGCTATCCCATCCTCAGGATTATTGGAGGCTTATGTGACATGATACATTCAAGTGCTCAGCATAGTGCCTGACACACAGAAATGGGCTTTTCCCCAATTTTACCTCCTCTACTCTGTGAGGTGTAGTTACTGTGGTGTTTATAGTACAAGACTTGGTAAGGCCAAACGTCTTGTCCAGCGTACCCTGACCTCCCTATACCAAGCCACATCCCCAAAGCAAGCCTCCCAGCAAGACAGAATAACAGAAGATGGAGGAAGTTTACCTGGTGAGGTGAAATTCACAGACAATGAGGGGCTGTCATCATTCATATTTGCATTGGGGATGTTATGGGCCCCAATGAAATATTGTGTGTTCAGCTCCACAGAGAAACCAATGTAGGAAAACGTCCACTGAAAGGCAAAGGAAGGACCCCTAAATTTCTGAAACATGGCAATGCAGGAACATAGTACCTTTGTGTGGCCTTTTCATTCATAGTTTCATTCCTTAGCCTACTGCTGAAACTTAGGTCTCTAGCCGATGTCTACTTAGAGCAGGAGTGGGGAATGTCCGGCCTCGGGCCGTATAAGGCCCTCAAAATCTGGCCCTGCCAAGGCATTGGGGGTGAATTAAATGTTTGACCAAATATAGCAGGCTAAGTTTTAACTTGGTAATTTTATATGGCCTGTGAATAATGTAAATACCCAAATGGCTCTTGGCAGAAAAAAGGTTCCCCACCCCTGACCTAGGGAATGGTCCCCACACAATTTGTCAGTGTAACTCACAGAAGCAGAAAAGTGTAAAATTTTAGAACCAAAATATTAAGTTCACGCTCCCTCACTTTGCTGATGGGGAAACTGAGGCTGAGAGGTGCTGACTTGCCCAAGGCACACAAAAACGGGCTTTGAACCCAGACAGCGTGCTTCAGGCTGGAAGTTGCAGGTGCTCACCAGCCTGTGTGTGCAGCACTCCATCCATATCCCCTAGCAAAGGGCCTTCCTAGTTTTAAGGACAAGTTTCTCCAAGGGCTTACTTTGCCTCCAGAGGGTCTGGTCTGAGTCTGGAAGGCCTCTGTGTAATTGCACCTCACGCAGCTGTAGGACTGGACGTTGCTTTTGCCTGACACACAGATCTTGGTGGCCTTCAGAAAGCGGATGCTGGCTAATGAAAGAGATGAGAGCAGCTGGTTATTTAGCACCCATTATGTGGCCGGCTTGCTGCTAAGAGTGTACATGCCTCATCTCATTTCATACAACAGACCTAAAAGTTAGACACCATTGTTGTCCTCAGCTCACTGATGGGGTGTATGACGTTTAGGGAATTTCAGGGAGATTTGCCTAAGCTCACAAAGCTCATTGGGTAGAATATGGATTCAGATTCCAAAGCCCAAATGTTCTCATCACAACTAAGCTTGAATTTCACAGGACACCTGCAAAGGTGACTCTAGCTCTGCATATTCTGAGTCTCTTCAGAAGTAAGAACCTTCCAGAATGTCATCACCAAACCATGCCTGCTCTGACTGCACTTTCAATCATGCTGAGTCTTCTTCCTGGAGTGCTCTTTTCTTCTATCTGCCTCTCCAGGGCTTGCTCCCTCAAGGCCAAACTTATATCTATAACAACGGCTGACAGATACAAAAGCTCACTCTGCTAAGTATGGGGCCAAACATGATACTGCAACATCTAATTTAAAGTGACCTCGCCAGGGCCCTCTCCTCTCTTCCCTGCCCCCATCGACTCACAGCTCCTTCTGGGATTCCAAGCACTGTCCCTGTGCCCGTGTCTGTAGCTGACTCACCTCTCTGTGCCTGGCACTCCCAGATTCCTGACCAAATGGAATTTAACTGAATTTAGGGTGGAAACCACAGACATGGACTTTAGGGCCCCAGAATTGGCTCATCACAAGCTGCCTTGGGGGGCTGCCAGGACTTTCACAAGCTACTGAGAAGTGGGAACGTCATCTAAGCCAGTGCTTTTCCTTTTTTCCCCTCTTAAATTTTCGTTGAATTCATTGGGGTGACATTTGTTAATAAAATGATTTAGGTTTCAAGTGTACAATTCTGTAATACATCATCTGTATATTGTATGCTCACCACCCA